CCAACACCCCCCGGTGCCGGGGCCGTTCTCGGCCTTGGCCCCGCTGCGGGGCTCGCCAGGGCCTGCTGTCCGTTCCCTTCCTCCTGTGGGGAAACCGGGGTTTGACTGGCTTTGTGGGAATCCGTAGCGTTTTCCAGTATCTGTTTAATGTTTGAAATCCTTGCCAACTCCCAGTCGGCTGCGTCCTTACGATTAAGTGTAGGTGGGTAGGTAAGGGTGCGCCTCAGGAGCTGCCAAACACAGATTTGAAAGAGCTCATCTCACCCAGCTTTGTTCATTTCTGGGCCTGGCAGTCTGCCTTGTTACAGAAAGCAGTTGCTATTTAATCGTGGTAATGGCTTTTTTTTTTCTAGGCAGCCTTACTGACTTTGACAAGGAACCGAGGTGTTGCTACCTATGCCCAAGCCCTCCAGAATATTCCTGAAACACAAGTCACCACTCTGGAAAATGGTCTCCGTGTAGCTTCGGAGGAGTCTAATCAGCCAACATGTACGGTAAGTTCAAGGTAGTCTGAGGATGTACTCAAAATAGTTCAGCTTTGCCTAGTCTGTAACTGGTCTTCCAAAAGTAACAAACCCATATTTGAACCAAAGTTTGTGGCAGACCCTTTCTTTGGTTAGCTGGTCAGAGCATAAGTGATGAGTAATTATTATACCTTGGGCAAAACTATCAAAGGTTCTTGTGATACTGCTAGGTTAAAGAATCTAAATATGTACTGCAAACCATCAGTTGCTGGTGCTCGTTCTTATTTTGGTACTACTAGTGTAGTGCCTGTGGAGTAGAGTTCTCTTCCTTGCCATTATACGTATGGGCTTGAATGTGATGTTTGTTTTATTTTCTAATATATGTACTTGATGCTTTTTCTGTTAGGTGGGTGTGTGGATTGGGGTGGGGAGCCGCCATGAAGATGAGAAGAACAATGGAGCTGGTTACTTCCTGGAACATCTGGCATTTAAGGTAAAGCAGTATGCTTTACTAGCGTAGGACTGTGCGGAGATCTGTTCTAGATAACTACTTAAAAAAAACAACAAAAAAACTTTTACAAAGGCACCTACCTTATATGGTGCTCTGTGTTTGAATATCTGGCAAGCTGCAAGCGTGCATGAATTACGGCAACTCTTATTTACTAATATCAGTATTTCCCCTCTTAAAGGAAGGAAATTGTAAGTAATGACTGAGACTGAGTCTCTAACCCTGCGGTTCTGATTCATGACGGTCCCAGCTCCTCTGTAGCACACGCAAACAGGACTATGTTAGGAAACATATTTCTTCAGGTTAGCAGGCAGAGCTCAAAGCAGCATTTCCTGTAGGTGTTTACTTTTCAGTGGTTTTGTTAGTGGACTGGCAAAGTTTGGAGACTACAGCTCTTACTTTCCTAATAACGTAACTGTCTGCTGAACAGCGCTTTATATGCGCGTACCAGGGCAGAAGGCCTCTACGACTGGGACTTACTGAGTCCCATCCAGCCTATGCCATCATGGGCAACTGCAGCATCTGATTCAGTCCTGAAGAGTCAAGCTCTATTTTAGAAGTATTTTTCTGTTCCTATTGGAAGGTTTCTCCAGAATATTGGTACTTGGATGGCTAGAGACTTGCTTCTCGTTTCTGGTTCTGGTATATTCTTGATTTACTTCTACTGATGTGTTCTTCAGCCACCACTGTCCGTTAGCTTAAGCTTAGCTTCTCCTTTCCTTTCGTGTTCTTACTGGTCTTTCAAAATACATCTCAACCTTTCTTTAATTAGGGTAAGTAAACTAAGTTTTAACTCTCTTATTTTCTGCAGTTGCTTTTGGCTTTTGTGAGTGAAGTGACGGTTTTTACTGTTTTAGCTCTTTAGCTTGCCCAGAAGGAAATTTGGCCGTTTCCTAGTTACATTTAACTGGTTTCTTTCAGGGCACAAAGAAGCGTCCTTGCGCTGCCTTTGAGAAGGAAGTGGAGAGTATGGGTGCGCACCTTAATGGGTACACCTCGCGTGAGCAGACTGCCTATTACATAAAAGCCCTGTCCAAGGACATGCCCAAAGGTAGGATGGCTGGTGGACAACGTCTGATTCAGGGACTGAGGACTAAGCAAGCGTGTGGGTATGTGTGTGGGTATGTGTGTGTGCCTCCCCCACCAGCATCCTTTCTAACAACAGACCGAGGAACGAAGTTGTGGCTGAGCAGTAAATTGTAGGTTCTAGGCGACAGCAAAAGAGACTGCTGCCGAAAAATGGTACTTCAAGGCTGCGAGCTAGTGTGTTCCTAAAACCAGCTTTTGCAAAGTTCTTAGTGTCATGTTGCACTATGTCGTGAGAAAAGAGGGGAAGTTTCAGTAATCTGTGGTTGTTTTATGGATTTGCGAAAATCAGATCAATGACGACGACTGTGTCACTGTGCTATCGTGTGCATACTCCTATTTGTGTCACATGTTCAGGAGTTGTGGATTTGAGTTAGAGCCAATTTGCGGGCCCCACTGTAGATGCGGCAAGCTCTCTGCAAGGGTTCAGCTTGTTTCTGCACTGTACCCCTGCTTCTGTTGTGCTCCACTTTTTGCACTCGTATTCCTGCTTTCTGCTTGCACTGATGAGCTATCAAGGGTGTGTAGCATGCAAAACTGGAGGTTTCTTCATGCCAGAGCAGTGTTGTTTGTCTCTCTTCGACGCTATGGGAAAGGGTATTACACGTTTTTGTTATGTTGCTTCCCTTCCCCAGCACGGTTTGATGCTCACCCTTCATGCCTGTGCCCCTGCAGCTTGTGTGTCTTTTCTCCTTTCAGCAGCGCTGGGTAGCAGTCAGGCAGTGGGATTGTTAATGTAGGAAATATGTTGCAGTTGTTGAACTTCTGGCTGACATCGTGCAGAACTGTGCGCTGGAGGAGTCTCAGATTGAGAAGGAACGCGGTGTCATCCTTCAGGAGTTGAAAGAAATTGACAACAA